ATGGTCCGGGAAATGCGAGGATGCAAAGTGTGACAAAAAGTGCATATCTTGGGAGGGTGCAGCCCATGGAGCTTGTCATAAGCGCGAAGGCAAATCAAATTGCTTCTGCTACTTCGACTGTTCCAAAGACAAGAAGACACCGCCTCCAAAAGACAAAAAACCACCACCAAAAGACAAATCGCCACCACCTCCCAAAGATGGCTCGCCACCACCTCCCAAAGAGGGCTCGCCACCACCTCCCAAAGAGGGCTCGCCACCACCACCGAAAGACGGGTCTCCCCCACCTGCTGACGGTGGTGCATCGCCTCCTCCAAAAGACGGGTCTTCTCCACCTCCAGCTGACGGTGGTTCAACGCCTCCTCCAAAAGACGGGTCTCCCCCGCCTCCTGCTGACGGTGGTTCATCGCCACCACCTCCCAAACACTAAGCCTTTGTCAAAAAATCCAACATAAAGGGCATAGCCTAGAAAGGGTCACATCCATAAATATATAGCAAATCTTTGTATGATTATGAATAAAGATAAAAATGCCTACTACTTAACAAATTGAGCATTTATAATGCTTTGATGTGTGTTGCTTGATTAATCGATGGATTTTGATTTTTTTAAGTATATAATATTATATACGGCATATGTGATAAATAAACTCACACATTCTTCTTACATTTAGTGAGGTTTGAATCTTGGCCTCCTAGAAGGCCAAAGGTTCACATTGCTAAGCCAAAGGAATTCCCATGGATACGTTATTCAATAATATAAATAATATTTTTCTTCGTTAAATAATCTCGATCTCCGAAAACTCCAAATGATTAAATATAACTGACTATACAAAATTGAGTATATAGGACCTTGAAGTGTTTAAGTGTCCTAATAGATTGCCTTATAGAACTTAAGTTTACATGATCAAAAGATAAAACGTCATATCTAAGAGCGTTACTATAAGTTTATAGGATGCTTTTAGGCGTCAGAACAAGTTTTCTAGTACATTTTTTAAAACAAGTTGTCATATTAACTATTTTATATATAGGACACTATTTAAAAAGATGTATGTGTCCGATAAAAAGACGGGTTTATTGGACATTTCTTAAAAATGTCATATAAAATAGCTAATATGACATCTTATTTAAAAAATGTCCTAAAAACTTGTTTCGACACCCAAAAGCGTCATACTAAACTTATTGTAACACTTTTAGTTATGAGGTTTTATA